GCCATTCTCCTCTCCGTGCTCCTCTCTCTCTCTCTCTCTCTCTCTCTCTCTCTCTCTCCCTCTCCCTCTCCAACGTCTCTGCTCTCTCCAAGCTTTCCTCCTGCTCCGTTTGTTGCTCCAGTCCACGCTGCTCAGTGAGCAGAGGACGAGGAAGCTGTTTCCTGCTCTGTTTTCCTCTGTTGCGGGCGGGCACAGCCGGCGGCGCTGCAAGTACCGGTACCGTCCAAATGCAGTATAGTACCATTTTAAATGCCTCAGTACCGCGGTACCATACTAGTACCGGTATATCGTGCAACACTATTCCAACCTATGAATCGCTGAGATCTAGAGCTCTGCACAGGCCCAATACCAAGACTAAATCCCAGCTAGTACCCCATCTTTATTACTTGACCCATTGAATTCGATGGGAACCTCCCAATTTGAAACCCAAACCTAGTCGCAGACATGAATGGTTGCTTTATTTTAATCCTTTGCTGACCAGTGCAGAGGTAACTATGGTTCTTTCGCTTTTCCCACTGAACACTGTGCAACTGCATATAACACATGACATGCATGGGTGCAGATGACTGGCAAAGTGCAAGAGAGAAAAAGAAACATTTCTAAACAAATGTCATTGGAGAATTATCAAACCCAAACAGATCCCAAGTCCAAATTTTTAGGCAAAGTAACATCCAAACCCTGACCACGTCCTGACAAATCCACTGCCTGCCCTCAGTCTCTCCAGTTATAACAGCTATAATTAACTCCTCTTTGTCTACTGCTAATGTCCCCTCATTCCTAAAAAGGCTTTGGTCACTCCTTTCCTAAAAAACCTGGCTTAGATCCCAATAGATGTAGATAACTACTAGTCCATTTCAGAAGACAGCGACTCAACTTCAGACCCACCTACAACAACCTCTGTGAGCCATTTCAGTCTGGTTTCCAAACATGGCAGCGAAACAGCACTTCTCAAACTCACTAATAGTCTCCTTCTCGCAACTGAAGCAGGCCTCGGGTGTTTTGAAATGTGCCAACAAATGCAATAAATTATTATTATTATTATTATATTTGACAGGTGTTTTTGTGCTATAACTCTCCTTAATACATTCCTCAAATTGCTGCTGCAACAACTACATAGTTTCTGGTAAACTGCTTATAGAAAATCACCTCATACGCAGGGTTAAGTAGCTTTAAGATGAGCAGCAGAATCTGTGTGAGTGTGTCTTGATGCCTTGATTAGCCTCCCTCCTCTGTTGTCCAAGGAAGACTTTATTCTTTCCTCTGTTAATCCCTGGCTCAGTGCCTTGCTAATCCAGAACAGTGGGATACAGGACATGAGAATGTCCTTAGACTTGAATATTATTACTTCTACTCCCATTAGAGATATTATAAATAATGTTTAAAATAGTCTCTCTCTGCAGGGCAAAAGAGCTTGTCATCACCCACATGCATGTTAATTTTTGCACTTACTGTACAGCAGAAGGCGACAGATTCACATCTCACAACCTCCGGTGTGATGCATCTCATGAAACTATAATAATTCAAATAAACACTTGCAAATATCTTTCAAGTGCCAGCTGAAGTGATTTTGAACGGGGTGTTTAGACTTAAATAATTATTAGCAATCAATTAATAGTGGCATGGCAGAAATGTACTCAACAGTTTTGGCTGGTTAAATGTGTGTGCAAGATCTTAGACAGTGTAATGAATGTTTTATTTACTTTATTTATTGCTATTTTCTGACAGTTTACAGACTAACCCATTAATGAAAAACATCACCACCAGATTAAACGACAAAACACTCGCTCACAATACAAATAGCAATATATTATTGCATTATAATTAAAATAATGCGGTGCAAATTGTTTTGCTGCATGTAAAAACTGACCACTTGATTACCACCTGAATCTAAAAAAATACAGCCACCTCTGCAACTTCAGCCTTATTTCCATATATTGCGATTCTAATAAAGGAGTTTAAATCCTTACAATACACACATTTTGTCCTTGGTATGGTTCAGATGTTAATTAAAGCTACTCCACCTAATGCCTTTTCAGCCTGGAGAGTGAGTAGGAGTCAAAACAGACAGATACCGTAAGCCAGGGGTGGCCAATTCCAGTCCTCAAGGGCCGCTGTCCTGCTTGTTTTCCAACTATCCATGCCTGACCTGCTGCTGATTACCTGGCTCAGGTGTGTTCAGTCAGTCAGAAGCTGGAAGATACCAATTCACTTTATCTTTCCTCATTCCACTGTCATCTAACAGTGGAATGCTCTGGTTACTGCTAATATGACACAAAGCTCAAATTAGTCCCAAATATAAATTCCATGAATTCAAAACAAATGTAAGGAGGCGGGGCTAATTTATGGACTGTACCCTGGCAATGCACGGTCGAGAAGCTTGAATAACACCAAACATCACGTTCTGTCCCATTTTCACATGATTTATGAGTTAGCAAAATTTTAGTTAATGCACCTGTAAGGGTGTTTAAGACCCTCATTCCCCATACAACGAACACTCTTCCTTAAACACAACCACACATATGACAAACACACAAACTGCTGTCAATGAACACAGAGGCTCTATTCACTGTAATGAGAAAGGTCAAGCAGTGTGATGTGAATAGGACACTAATGACATAAGTCCCAGAGGCCTACACTGCTAATGGAGTGTGCTTTATCAAAGGCCTTCTCTCTGTCACATCGACTGCTCATACAAGTGGCCCTAGCCTCGTTGTTGTTATTTGTGTCTGTAGCACAAACAATTAGTTGTTTATCGCACTGGGACAGAGATGACACATGAGACAAGGGGCCCATTGTTTTATTAGTAACTGAAATTAATTCTAATACTGAAAAACATGATCATCAGCCAGAGAAACATCTTTTATGACCTGAGGGTTCATCTCTTCTTTACCAAAAAACCCAATATACCCACACCACATGGTCACAAAAGGCTCACGTAGGCCTACTGCACATTTCTGACTTAGAGTTGAACTGAAATTTGAATAAACCACTGAAGGATACTCCAGCACATTTGTCTGTGCAGTCAGCTACACTTCCATGGTGCGATAATGACAGGAGCATGTCTTTTACATAAACATTTCCCATTTAGGAGGATCCGACCACTCATCTGAAGCATCCTGACAGTTTGCAGTCCTAGCTTGCTAATGTCACTCTGATGCATCTTCGCAAGAAAACTGCCCTCACCACCGGCTGTATAGTCACCCTCTTTCATCTCTGCTACTGTGTCCTTCTATGTACTTGTTTGCTCTTGCTCTCACCCACAAAGTTATGCTTATATTAACACCCCCTATAGCCAAGGTCAGGGTGGTTTGTCAAGTGGCCTGGGGCCACTAGGGAATACACAGCATACTGATCTGGGCAAAGTCAGTGAGGAAGAGAGGAGATAAGGAGGGAAAGATAGAGATATTAAAATAATGTACACAGTACTGTCTGGATGGGGGTGTGGAGGTGAAGTTCATAAAAGGTACGAAGAGACTTGATTAAGGTCACTGAAGACAAAATAAACCAACTATAAGGGTTAGAAGACAAAAAAGGAAGGTAGAAGAGCATGTCAAAAGGCAGATTATATAAATGTCTGCTATTGTACATGTACAGTATCAGTAATGTATTAATTACACAGCCATTATGGTTATTGCACATCAATGAGCAATAAAATGTGAACGCCTTGCTCATGCAGTGATTGTATCTCAAGACAAACTGTTTAATAACATGATTCCATAATTTAAAGTAGTTTTATAGGTGATGAATGGCTTTAGTGGCTCACATTCACACACAGTGCTGTATATAGCGTATGTGCAAACACACAGAAAACATATTATAGCAGGTCATACTTAACTAAAGCCCCTCAAATCTCGCAGACATGTATTCTGAAAGAAGGTTTAAACACACACCTGTATCCCCAGTGTCAGGCTGATCAGTCCCTAACGGTGCAGGACTACACACTCTGCTGTAAATGGTCCAGAACACTTATAAAAAATACACAGATCCTGCATTTCTGAAGTACATGACACCGGAGAACTTCATTTTCTGTGAAAGAAAATTTCAGCCCACACA